AAACTTGACTCTCAGATATTTATTGAAGCACTTAGAACTATTATTCCTTCCCTCCAAACATCTCTTGACTTCTTACATTCTCACATCAATGAGCTTCACCAGAAAATTATTTTGTATGTTCATTATTCTGTGTTTTCTACTTAGTTTCAGTTCTTAATTAGATTTTATTCCTAAGAGCTTTTTTGCAGACTTATTCATCAGTTATGAAAGTTGTATCCCTCTCAACTCTATTGGACTATTTTACAAACTTAACAAAGTTTTCTTTTTACAAACAGATTCAGCAATATTTTCTAATAATTTATTACGCTTTTCCTTAAAACTTGAATGTCAATGGTATTTATCTTCAGATAGTAGCGTTCTTGAGTGACAGAAGAAAAGCAATCAGTCATGACAACTCTATGTTTCTATGTCCCATTCCCTTTATTTTCTGCATTTACAGATTGTGTTTTTTCTGTTCAACTTTTAAAACATCAGTATTAACTCATGTTGAAAAACATCTAGTAAAGTCAAAACCTGCTACTCTCCACTTGTGTTTTGGTAAAGTGAATATTTTATAATGTGATTCTCACAGGTTTTCTTGGTGTTTATTCTAACTGCACTATTTTATCCAAACTTTATTCCATGACCTCTCTTAATGTATAAGTCTCGCTCTTCTCCCACAAAAAATACTTCATTCTTTTGTCTTAAATAAAAAAAATGAGTAATACCTCCTGATATATTTCTCAGACCCTTTCAACAACTGTATAAATAGGTATCATTCTTCCGATTTTATAGGAAACTAAGGTTCAACAAAGTGAATTGTTTCTAAGTTTAATAAAGCAAAGTTTGCTATTTTGGAGGTTGAGAGTAGGGCTGAGGGTTTGGAAGGGCTCAAAATAGTCATATTTTCAGTAAATCTTTAAATTTGTTAGTTTAGTAATTTTTATATTTTTCTGATACAGGGCATCTTAGAACCTTAAATAAGCATCCAATTAATCTTCTGAAAAGAGTTTCTCATCCTCTCCCCTGTATCTAGACTTTGGCTTGTAAATCTGACCTTCACAAGGAACCATTATTTTCCCCACTACTTTCTGATCTTTGCTGTTGGTATGTTCTCCTGTTTTGAGAGAACACAGAGACCTTGTGCCTTATCAGGATACTTGTCTGACACTTATTTCATCAAGTGGAAAGGAAGTATTTATTTGATTCACAAAAAAGTTGAGTAATCATATTTTGGAGGAGGAAAAATTCTAAGTTCTGTGGGAGTATTCATGAATCAATTTGAAAGGCAAACAGTTTAATTTGCTAAAATAATTCTCACTGCCAAAGGTGCCCGGAAAGACTCGTCTTGGGATATCCTGACCCGTGGAAGAGCCCTGGGGTGGGAAAATCATTGATATCACTTGGATGCCTAAGGACAAGCTTTGAAAATTATCTGTACCACAGTTTCTCACAGAATCTCCCGTAGAAGGATATTCTTACAGCAATACTGGTCATCTCCTCTGATGCTCGCTGCATCTGGGTTTCACTGTATTCTTAGCAAAGCCCTGTATGACTACAGGTATATACCACTACTTTCCTACCACTAAGACTAATATAAGAGACTCAGGAAAAGTCTCAGGTTCAGAGGCTAAATTCTGGTGCATTAACCAAGTGTTCAAAAGTAGTAACATTTATATCCCTAGCCCAGGGGCATGGTAATCCATTAATTGTTACATGAAATAATTTTTCAGAACCACCCCACTTCTCAGTAGTAATTCTGATTTGAACAATTTTACTGTACTGGATTTAATCTTAGATAGCCTGTTATTATCAGACCATTACCTGGCTTTTTTCTTCTGTTCCTGATCATGAAAAAGGGAAAAACACATAGAGTGTTTTTCAAACTTATTTGATCATGAAGTGTGTGTGTGTTTAGTTTTGGCATAATGCATTAAGATTGAAGGTGAAGGAATCACATTAACAAGGAGAAATGTGCCTGAGTGTTTCAAAGGCTGGGAAGAACTTGGTGCTAGTTTCTCCTTCTGAGCTTATTTTTAATGATAGCCCATGCATGTCTAGTCCACCTACTTTTCTCAGGAGTCTTGGAAAGTTACAAACCAAGCCATAATACCTATGGAGTTAACAGCTGCCTGATAAACATCATCTTCAGAGATATTTAAGATCTATATGTATCTGGACACCAATAGTATCAAGGTGGAACTTTACAACAAAATAAAAAGCAGGTCCCTAATTAATTTTATGGTGAACTTTCCAAATTGGTAACCTATGTATTCTCTACTTTATGCATTAGCTTAAAATAATTAAACCATTAGGCTGTGCAAATATTGACTAATCCTGGTCCTTGCCCAAATAATTTAAACACATCTGTGAATTAAAAGTTATTAATTATTAATAATCACTAATGAATGTAGAAAAGATTAGCTTTAAATGATTAAATGTGATAATAGACATAAAATAAGATCTGAATTAATTATGTGCTGTGATCAAGAACACTTGTTGATCTTTAGCTCTACAGATAGAAAATATTATCTAATTCTGACAGTTAATAATATAAGCACCTTCGAACTTACATTATGAAGTAGTCCCTTCCCCTGATGGGGAGCCTGTCACCCTAGACAGTTCTCCAATTGCTGCTGTAAGAATTCATGAGTGGGAAAAACCCAAAACATATGAATATCAAATATAATCCATAAATAGCAGGAAAAAAGTCTTCCACTTCCCCCGACAAGTTCCTGGCCTTATCTTAAAGATCAGAGATAAAATCAACCAGTGAAATGATTCATGGAATTTCTGTGACTCCCAAGTGGCTCCTTTGCTTTGAGAATTAAATACAAGACATATATATATACATATATATGTATATATAAGAGTACAAGATAAACTAACCCATATTACCTAAAACTGGCCATAATAATTCCTTTTGAACAGCTTGTACACATAAAGAATAGGTTGCTTTATAAAAACAGCATGTAAAATAATGAAATATTGCCTATTAATCTTTGGCCAGAGGTGAAAAATGCCATTTCCTGAAACCCAGATAGAGGACTCATTTTTATCACCTGCCAGAAGAAAAAGCATCTTTCATAAAATTGAGCACCTGCCTACAGAATTCTAAGTCTGTGTTTACAGGGATTTAAGGACCTTAGGTAAACTTCTGGATCAGGATGGAAAGCTTAGGGACCTTGGGGAGATTAACAAAGCCTGAGCCACAGACATCCCACTTGAGTCAGAATGGCTCCCTCTAGCTCAGTGGTTCTCCAGCTTTAGCTTGCACCAGATTCACCTTGAGGGCTTCTTAAAACACAGCCTGGTGACCCCACTCCTACAGTTTCTAATTCAGTAGGTCTTGGTGGGGCTGAGAATTTTTGCATTTTTAACACGTTCCAGGTGATGCTGATGTCAGGCCCATGCTGGGAACCACTGCTCTGGCTTATATTCTATAAGAAAGAATCATCTTTTTACATAAGGGCACTTTATGTAGGTTTCTTTGCCTTGAGAATATTGTATATATTGAGCAGTCAGTTACTAAGATCCCTTTTTAATAAAGGTGGCCACTGTTTGGAACCTACAGAGGCCACCTCTGAAGTCCACTGTGGGGGGTAGTCCCAGTCTTCTACCACAGGACTCTGGTCATTTCACTCGTGGCCTTCACGCTGTGTTGATTTCACTTGTGCTACAAACACTAATTTTGTTTTTATTTAACCATTTAACCATTTTACTTAAGTTTATTTAAACATTTAACTTAAGAAAGTGCCCTTGTGGTTTATAGAGAAGCCAAAGAGCCAGGAAACCACGTGGAGGCCTATCCTAAAACCACATCTAGATGGGGTAAGAGGAGACCAGTGCTGGATAGGGCAGGGCTGCCAGGCTCTGGAGTTAGCCTTGCCTGGGTTGAAATGCCAACTCGAATCCCTCCTAGTTGTCAATGGATTGTGGGGGGAGGGAGAAAAACAGACATGGTTTACATTCTTTCTGCGTTTGTACTATACACGATTCCTTGACTTGGGAATGAGAATCACAGAAATGGCAGACTTGGTGGGAGAAGTAACAGATTCAATTGACCAGGAATAATTGGTTGGTGAGGCTCAGTGCAAGAATCTGAGGTCCCAGCACCCCTAGTCACAGTTCTTCTGTATTAACTTAAAGAGCAAGGACGGAGAGCAAGCATAAATTCTAGATTTTATTTATAACAATGACTAGCCTTTATTATGTGCCTACTAGTTGCCATTTTACAGAAAGAGAGAGAGAGAGAGAGAGAGAGAGAGAGAGAGAGAGAGTGTGTGTGTGTGTGTGTGTGTGAGAGAGAGAGAGAGAGAGAGAGACTGTTTAATGTTCTATACTGTGATCAAGTTTTGCTTTGTAACCTTAGATGAATAATCAGTTGCCCATCAATCAGATGCCTCAAGGTAACTATTATATTAAAAAATACACCCTCAGTTTACACTCTAATTGGGAAATTTCTAACTGCTATAATTTTTAAGAACAACATGTATCCAAGAAGTCTAATCCCCTTTTCTCCTAATGTTTCTGTCTGCCCAGTATCAAAGCCAAAAGACCAGTCAACACAGAAGAAATATTTCCAAAGAAACACAGAACTGCTTGATTAATAAACATGGGGGAAGGGAGCATAAAACTAAAAATAAATTTCAAAAGATTCAGTCTTAATGAAGACAGAATTATCAAACCATAGAAAACACTCTGGAGCAATAATGTCTCAATTTCAAGCTTTTTTTTAGATTTCTTTACTCTATTTTCTTTAGTTTGCTCTTCAGAAAAATAACACTATATTGAGGTTTATCAGCTAGAAGGTTATAAGCAGAAAAATGAGAGCTATTATAATTCTTATATAGTGTTTGGCCAAACATTTCAAAAATTGGATCCTAAAATAGAAGATAAAACTCTATCAAGTCAGTTTGTCTGCCAGCGTGCTTCAGCGCTCTTAATACCACAGTGTTTTGTTTTGTTTTGTTTTGTTTTCTTCAGAATTAAGCAATTCTATAAGAAGAGACTGTTCTTACCCTCATCCTTCCGTTCCTTATTGCTGGCCCATCTTCTGCCAATCTCAACACGTACAAATCCATTTTGTATTCCCTTCCTCCACGAATGCTGAATCCAAATCCTTTGGCTCCTTTCTCCATGTCCACAGTGAAATAATCAAAATCCTTGGGAGAGATATGGAATAAACAATTGTTTAGTACCAGAGAAGCTCCTGTCATCCGTCTCTCTGACCCCCTTCTCTCTTATAGTTAATATGCTCCAATGACACGATGTTGTGAGAAGTAATCTGACTTCACAAACTATCAAAGTGCAAAACAAAATTCAAAGGTTTGAGCAGATCAGAATACAGATTACTTGGTCAATAAAAAACTGCTGTGTAGCTTGTTTACTTTGGTATTTATCTCTTTACTGGGCAAACATGTAATTATTGCATATATGCCTGAATGACATCATCTCTCTCTGAGTTTTCTCACTTACTGCTGTTAAGCACCATAAATAAATGTATCCTTTGCATGCCCGTGTGTATGTGTAGACTACAGAGTTTGCTGACTAGAAAAGTGAAACTTAATGAGGTCTGTCTGTATCTCTCAGTTTCACAGTCTGCTGAATATCAGGTTGAAGTGTACAAAATTAATTTCCCTTTTACCTAAAGTGCAACATGTCCAAGATTTGCTGACCTTCACTGTTCTTAAAATCTTTGGGAATCAAGGTGATCTTTAATTCATCATAAAACACAAAGTAATCTGATAGAGTTGAAATTGTGCTTAATTTATATCTTGATATCTAGTTATCAGGTAGTGAATATTTAGCAGATACCAAGCTCCGATCTAGACACTTTTCATAAATGTTGAATCCTCGCCCTGGCCTGTAAGGATGACTCTTTAGGAAACTGAAGTTTGGAGAGGTTAAGGAAGTTGCTGTGAGATGCATCCAGCATCAACATGTAATTACAACAACTGCACTGTTGGTTGATTGTGTAGACAGGGACTTGGTGGTTGTTGCAGAGACTACATATCCTGGATGATGAAGCCAGGCCTGGTCTTCTCCTCATTCATAGGGGCTTGGCTGTTTACCAGAGAGTGGGAGGTAGGGGGCCATGTAAATAATTACAAACCTAAGATACCTCCACTACTGGCATTTGTACAATTTTTTTGCATTAGTAGCACTCTCTAAGGTCCCAGATAAGAGCACTTTTAAAAACTTGGGCCAACCCTGTGGCTCACTCAGGAGAGTGCGGCGTTGGGAGTGCAGCGGTGCTCCCGCTGCAGGTTCGGATCCTATATAGGGATGGCCGGTGCGCTTACTGGCTGAGCGTGGTGTGGACGACACCAAGCCAAGGGTTGTGATCCCCTTACTGGTCACAAAAAAAGGCAAAAAACCCAAAAACCAAAAACCAAAAAACTTGAACAAGGCAATCAATGTACTGGGAATTAGCTATCTAGTATTAGCAGGGGTTAGCTTATCCCATGACCACTCACCATCCATCCATTTATCTACCTATCTATCTATGCTGTCCTGCTTTATTCTGAAATAGGCTTATTTATCCAGCACATTTTGAGGATGTGGGTGTTACCCTGATAATATCAGAAGTAGGAATAGAACCCTGGCTCTCTTTCCTTGTACTTCAGAAAGTCCTAATCCCACCCCATTGGTGCCATGATCTTCACCTGTAGCCCCAAAGGTACCTGGTGCTGCCTGTAGTCTGACAGAGGGTACTGCCTGGTGTCAGGAGAGTGCTGCCTGTAGTCCAGCAGGGGTGGCTGCCTGTAGTCCAAAGGGGGGGGCTGCTGGTAGTCCCCTCCTGGGGGTTGCCTGTAGTCCAGCGGGGGCTGCCTGTAGTCCGTGAATGGAGGCTGTCGGATGTCTGGTTTCACATCTTGCCTTGCCTTTACTTCTGACCTATAACTAAATAAATGGAAATGAGACTTGCTTTGGGATCTCAGCATTGTAAGGACAGTAGAATAATCTCATGACCTGCGGGCACGGTCCAACCATAACAGCTTGTGCGAGGCGCTCCTCTTGACGGTCCTGTTGCATGTTCAGGATTAGAGAAGATTAAATAAATGATAGGCATTATTTTTAAATCTTTGACAAATGCCATATGGCATATTTTTCATTTGGCTCCTTGAGAAATCAAGGTAAAGATGATGGTTCAAACAGAATTTTGTGGAAGGGACTCATAGATATCTCTCTTAGACTTTGGCTATTTAAAAACTGCACAACCAAAGCAAACCTAGTTAAACACTTAACTATACATCCCAAAATGTTAGTCTGTCTTATCACCAGTGAACCAATTCACTCTCTTACATGCACGCGCACACACACACACACACTTCTTGGCAGATCATTACTCTGTGAAAACATGATGAAAATGATTACTAAATGCTTTACAAATACATAATAATAGGCTATTTTAACTTGCTAAGTTGGGTCTTTTTGAGTATTTCATAGGGGTTAAAGGAATGATAGTCAAGTATAACCACCAACTACAAATCAAAGAGAAAAATCACTGGATCACTGGTAAAATTAGAAACATATTACACGAAGGTTTAAATACTAGACCATAGCTGTCAGGACTAGAGTCAAATACTACTGTGGTCACAAGATGGAAGGGAAAGCAAAAATGTTCTTGTCCAATATTTGTCTTGCTTGTCCATAGGTATTAGTTACTAATAAAGACCAGAACTAGGAGTTTAGTACCATGAATCCAAACTGTTCTAAGCTGAGTGGGTTCCTAGTTCCAAAAGGGGACTAAAATAGTCAGTACTTGCCATTATGGGATCATTAATAAGGTAAACTAAAATTTTATTACAGGGCATAGAGGCCACTTAATTCTATAGTTTGTTACCTATTGCCATGGTAATAGTCTATAATGAGTTACCTGGGAGGTATAGGTAGATTTAAAAAATACATCCTATAAGATAAATGACTTTATCTAAAATTAATAAGAAGGCTATGAGAAATTGAGGATATATTTAGCATGAAGGAAGAGCTCAAATATGTCAGGAAAACGGGTTCAAAGCCAGTAGAATTTTTACCTTTAAGACTAAAATAGTTTCTTCATTGGCTTGTAGTCTCACTGATGTTGACTAGTATTAAATATTTTAAAATATCACTGACTTGAACAATTGTCACTAGTATAATCTAATATTTGGTGAGGACACATTGAAAGTGCACAGCAGCAAATGTGTTTATTTGGGTTCTAGTCAACCTTCGAGTAGGTCCCTTTGTTACTCAACTGTGCAGAGGGGAGACATTCCTTTTCTGAGTTGCGTAATTTAGGCTTTGCTTTATACCTCAAATGTCCACTCACCACCGAGAGTGTGCATGCTGAGAATGGAATTATTTAAAATATGCTTTGAATAAGCTGCTTAACTTGCAAATGAATGCATTAAACAAAAGGAATCAACTGGGTGACATTTGTCAGCATGTGTTGGTTCCTTTCTAGAAATAGTTGGCTTGGTGGTTTAGATGTCATGCTATTTTAATTTATAGCATAGTCACTTTACTTTCATGAACTCTGTGTTATTGGTATGAAATATCCATTATGTGCCCCATTTCCAACCAGATGTGTCACGAGGTATATTAAAAGAGGGTGAAATGTAAGAATCTCCCCAAAGATTACACAAATGACTAAAAATAGGAACAGTTGAAACTTGCAAACAGCTGCCATCCAGGCCATCAAACATTCAAACTTCATTTTACACCAATGCCATGTGTCGGGATTTTAAATTGAACTGCACATTGAAGAATTCTTTAACATTCCTTAACTTATGAAAGAAAGTCATTGATATAACCTTCTGTATCTATTAATTCCATTACTAAAGAGAGCTTAGAGATGATAAAACCATATTGCTAACGGTAAATTCTGGCAGGTTTTTATGGTACAAAAAAGTTCCAGAACCAAGAAACGTAGCCTACGATGAGATGGTACATCATGTGGGTTCTTCAAGAGTCACTTCGGCATTGAGCACCCAGGGTCAAATTCTGTGAAAAAAGTCAATTTCCAATGCTCTTCTTCCAGTCACCTAGCTATTTTAAATTGCAGTCAAGTGTCAGTTGCTCTTGCTGAGGAAGGTGAATTCTGCTATTTATACTTAGTTTTGGAATATATTTCGTAATGGCTCTTTTGTTGTTTTCAACAAATGCTTTTCCTTAAATAGTGTTTCACTTATGTTCACACTAAAATTATTTTATGTTTCCTGAGCACATGAGCACATACCAAAAGGTTGTTAAAAGACAGAGAAATGGGTAGAAGTGTGCAAGGTGTCGTGGGAAGCCAATCCAAGAATCATTAAGACAGGATAAAATATCACTCATTCTAGTTCACAAAATAGAAATTGGCAAGCAAATCGTCATTTTAGTTTATTCCACTCTAACATGGAAACTGACTCGATTTGACATGTGGGTGGGTGCTCCTTGCACAAATGAACTAATAGGAAATTCATACTGTGCACTTGGCATATAAACTGTCTTGGAGACATCTTATTCTGATCTAGAAAAAGGCAAAGAGTTTCTCTTCTGATGCCATGAAGTTTCTGGTATCTGTAAGATTACCAAATCTCTTTATATGCAAATGAGCCACCACTAACAATCAAAAAGTTAGGCCAGGAAACTTGAGTGTAGTAAAGGGCTCTAGAATTAGAGTGGGCACTTTCCAGGCTGTTAATATTACTGAAGCAAAATAGCTAAGAACTTTGGGTGAATGTGTTGGTGTTTTATAAAAGTTTGAATCAAGTAAATCTGTTGATCCCAGAGTTAGGATATATTTTATTCTGCAATCAGGAAAAAAATATTGAAAGACCACTGCTTCTGGGATAGTGGCCGAGGTATCCCAGTTGTGAGCTAGTAGGTGGGATATGGTAGTGGACGTACCCAACTGTTGTTCTGCCCACAGAACTCTAACACAGCAGGGATGAGATTATCCCCCCACCCTGCCTCCGCTGGCTAGAAGCAAGAGCCACATCTGGGGCAGTCTGACTCTGGAAAGGAGAAGATAGAATGTGGCTGTCAGATTAATCTACAGTAGCAAAGTCCAGAAGAAGAGTCTGAAGCTGCCTCAGGGACTGCTGGAGCACTCAAGTCCTTCCCCCTGAGTCTAAAATGATTGCTGGGGAAAGCCAGCACGATCTGTCGAAATAACACAGTGAAAATGAGCACATCTGGGGCTTATTACTGAGGCACCCAGGACTTACTCTTCTTATGGCTTGTCAAATTCTTACCTCTGCATCATTCGCTTTATGGGGCTTTTCTCTTCCCTAGTATATATTAAAAACATAGACAGCTGAGGACAACTAGACATTTGCTTTTCTGTGAAAGCAAATGTAGAAATCAGAGTAGAATAGGGCTTTATAGAAATACCACCTGTGGCTCAGGGAAAATATTTGCTTTGCAACAGTGTGAATGATGAACCCAGAGAGTTCTGGGAATCAAAACCAGAGTCTCACTTCAACTTTACCAACATGGGAGGCAGGAGATGGAAAGCAGATGTTCAGAAAACATTAAAATCACAGAAAAGACCAGCGAGGGTTTTGTATTCAGAGATGTTCCTGTGAGTTGTTCTGTTTTTCTCCCAATGAAAGGGGGAAAATGACATGGGAACATGTCTTCATCTTTTTCTTTAATGGCTCAACCCAACCCAGGCTCCCTGTTATACACAAGTCACAATAAGAGGACAATGTTGTTCTTATATGCCATCCCTTTTCTGGAAGCTCAAAGTGCCTTATTCCTATTAGTTCCTGATGCCTATGTCTAACCCAATGTGTGGAATGGAAGAACTTCATTAGATCATGGGTAGGAGGATATAAGGTTATCACTCAACCTAAACAGTAAAAATGTTAATATTTATTGATGCCTTTGGATCCTTGAACATCTTCTCCTCTCTAGATCATCATCATTCCCTGGGATACCACCTTCATGGCTCAATGACCATGTGCAGCTGCCTTCTGACTGCGGAACCTGCATTCACCCTGACCCGTCTGTAGTCTGCTCTCTGCAGGGCAGACGGAGATCTTAAAAAGCAAATCCAATGTGGTCAGTCCTCAGCTGAAAACTCTTCAATGACTTCCCACTACACTTAAGATAAAGATCGAAGTCTTCAACACGCTTACAAGGCCTCTAAGAGTTGGCCCTGCCACCCTGACTGGCTTCACCTCACACCATGCTCCCTCCCTCTGCCACCACTGCGTTGGCCTATTTCCATCCTTCGTGCCTGCATGCTCCTCCTGCCAGAGGGCCTTCGCATGTGCTTTTCACCTGGATTCTCTTTAATGTGCTTTCAGCTGGTTAACCCCCACCCATCTGCAATTGCTCATCATTTCTGCAGGAAATCTTTCTTACTGTGAAGGACAGACACTTAGTTATATTTACTAATGAAACCGTACATAACACACACACATACAATCTCAAAATCACATAAAGGTGCACATGGCGATTTCTATTTTATGAAAATCTCTTTCCCTGCCTATGTCCTGTACTGTCTCCAAATGCTCCCTCTCCCCACCTCCCTCACCTCTCAGAATTGAAAAAGCCAGAGGAATCTTTACCTATTTTCATGTCCTTGCAGCAGGAGTGGCTGAGGAGGAGCTGGTTGGGCAATGGGGCTGTTGGGGGTGGCCGAGCTTGGTTGGGCCAGAGGACTCTGCTGGGCCAAGGGGCTGTGCTGTTGGGCCAGGGGGCTCTGCTTCTCTGAGCTGGGTGCCGAGGCTGGGCTGTTGAGCTCTGCAAAGGGATATCGAAGTGGCAAATGCAGTCAGGTTAGCAGGAAAAAAGGGGCAAGAGGTGACCAGAGGCGACTCAAGGCTTTGATTATTTCTGTTTGTGTTAGGTTTTTAGATAGCATGTTAAACTGATCAAGATCCAGCACCACTTCTAGAATTAGTAGCCTTTAATTAATTGTAACTGCTACACAAGGTTATGAACAGAGTCTCTTGTCATTTTGTCAGCAGAAATGACTACAAAAAAACCCTTTTAAAACTATAAAAGTATATTCACAGGAGTAGCTCTAAAACATTCTATTTTTCCAGCATTACTGTTGAGAGAAAATGTTCTAGCTACTACTTTTTTGATTATAATGAGAAGTCTTATAGTCTTGCAAAGTGTGGATAAGGAACTAAACATGAAAAAGTAAATGCTTTTTACAATCTTTCTTCCAGTCCCTTGTCAATCTTATTGCCTAATGACACTCCATCCTCTGCAGTTCTCCAGAAAGAAAAAAGAACACTGGATGCAGGAAGAACCGTAGAGCTGTTCTTTTTAAAAACTGCCTCTTGGGGTTCTAGGCAAGTAGCTGAAGGCTGCAGCCCCTTGTGCCTGTAAGCAGGCAAGAGAGCATGCCTGGGGTCACAGGCAGGGATCTGAGGGCAGTACCCTTCTGTCAGAAGGCAGGCAAGAGAGCGAGTTGAAAACATCACCTCTGTGTGGGTGGACCACCACAGCCACGGCCACAGACTTGGCTGCCAAAAAAGTGGCTTGATGCCACAGCAGCAGCCACAGCCATTGTGCAGGTGGCCTACTGTACACTTAACTGCATTGACATAAGGAGAGTCACCAGTGGAGACTGAAAAAAGAAGAGGATGTCTCTCTCCTCATAGCCCACTCCAGAGTAGCAGGAGAAGCAACTGCTCTACCAGATGACCAGACACCAACATAGAGATACTAGAAACACAAAAACCCAGGAAAATATGACACCACCAAATGAATACAGTAATTCTCAAATCCCAGACCTTATAGAGCAGAAAACCCTTGAAATGACTGAAAAGGAATTCTGAGCAACAATCTTAAAGAAACTCACTGAGATATGAGAAGACTCAGTTAGACAACATAATGAAATGAGAAAAAAAAAATCCAGGATTTGAAGGAGGAAATTTACAAAGAGATTAATACCTTAAAAAACAATGTAGCAGAACTCATGGGACTGAAAGATTCACTCAACAAAATGAAAAACACAACTGATAGCTTAAGCACCAGCTAGAATGAACAGAACAAAGAATTTCTGATCTTGAAAATAATCTTTTCAAAATAACCCAGGTGGACAAAAAGAGGAAAAACGAATTTAAAAAAATCAAGAAAATCTAAGAGAGCTGGTGGACAACCTTAAGTGCACAAACATTTGAATAATGGGTGTTCCAGAAGGGGAGGAGAAAGAAAAAGGCATGGAAAACCTATTCAGTGAAATAATAACAGAAAACTTTCCAGGTATAGGGAGAGACATAGACCTTCATATCCAGGAGGCTAAAAGGTCCCCAGACATTCAATCCAAGAAGATCCTTTCTGAGACACATTATAGTGTCTGGCAAAGCTCAAGGACAAAGAGAGAATCTTAAAAGAAGCAAGAAGAAATCATCAAGTGACCTATAAGGGAGCCCCTATCAGACTAACAGCAGACTTCTCAACAGACACTCTACAGGCCAGAGGAAGAGGGGATGATACACTCAAAATACTAAAGGAAAAAACCTGCCAGCCGAGAATACTATACTCAGCAAGGCTATCCTTCAGAAATGAGGGAAAAATATTGTATTTTCCAGACAAACAAAAGCTGCAGGAGTTCACCACCACATGACCAGCCCTACAAGAAATCCTCCAGGAAGTCCTACATCTGGAATCTGAAAAATGATAATCACTAACACGAATACACAAGAAAGAACAAAATCCACTGGTAGAACAAAAATGCAAATGAGAAAGAGAAGGAAATTAAATCTCATAAAAAGCCATAGTGACAATGTAATAATGCCCCTACTTTATTTCTGATTTTAGTAATTTCGGTCTTTCTCTTTTTTCTTGGTCAGTATAAAGGTTTGCAAATTTTGTTGATCTTTTAAAGAATAAACTTTTGGTTTTGGTGATTTTCTCTGTTTTTTAATTCCTTATTTCATAAATTTCTGTTGGAATCTTTGTTATTTCCTACTTATATTTGCTTTTGGTTAAGTTTTCTCTACTTTTCCTATTTCCTTAAGGTAGAAGTTTACATTACTGATTTGAGATTTTTCTTATTTTTAATATAGTTGTTTACAAGTATAAATTTTCTTCTAAGCACTGCATGAGCCCTACATCCTATAAATTTTGATATGTCGTGCTTTGATTTTTAAATCAAAGTACTCTCTAATTTCCCTGTGATTTTTCTTTTTACCCATTGTTTATTTAGGAGAGTGTTGTTTAATTTCCCCACATTTGTGAGTTTTCTAAAGTTCGTTCTGTTAATGTGGTCAGAGAACGTATTTTCTATGATCTTAGTCTTAAAAAAAAAGAAAAATTTAAACAGAATCTGCAGTTAAAAACAAAACAAAACAAAAAATACATAATTATAATGTTTAAGTCTATCATCCTGTTATTTGTTCTATCTGTGCTTTGTTACTTTCTCTTTCTTTGTCTTCTTTGGATTATTTTTATTATTCTTTTTCACCTTTTGTTGGCATTTTCCTTTTTTAATTTTAGCTGTTGCTTTGCTATTTTAGTTGTTGCTTTGGGATCTATAGCATAAAACTTTAAATTTTCAGTCTACTTTGAAGTGACAGTATACAAATTCATGAATAGTGTAAAAGTCTGAAAATTGTGTTCTATTACCTTTCACCGCCTTTATGCTATTGTTGTAATATATTTTACTTGTATATGTCATAAACCCTATAATCCATTATTATTTTAGTTATTAAATAATGTTTATTAAAAACTGCCTCTTGGCTTGTTTTCTAACAACATCAAATTTTCAACTGAAATTATATCTGTATGTTGGAAAAAGGGCAGGACACACATATGTCAGACTGGGAAAACTGAGAAGCATGTCAGATTTTTAGTGAGCAATCTTGCTTACAGTTAATATTTTATAGATATTGGTGTGCGCAGATAACCGGTTAAAAAAAATCCTGTTCATTTCTTTTCTCTGTCTTTTTTTTTCTTCTTTGGTTTGGTGACAAAAGAGAGGCGATCTATTAGCATTCTCATGCAAACCATTCTTCCCCTTTCTTTTCTCATAACCCACATCTTTTAATTTGCTCTCCATTTATATAGTTTCTTAACTGCATCCCAGTTGGCAATTTGGGCCGGATGATTCTTGGCAGTCTGGGGTTTTATAGGATGTTTAGCAGCATCCCTGGCCTTTACCCACTAGATGCCAGTAGCATCTCCAACCCAATCACAACAATAAAAAATGTCTCCAGACATTGCCAAATGTTCCCAGGGGGTGCAGGGGGTGGACAAAATTACACCACGTAGGAATCACTGTTTTACATTTAAAGTCAGGTGGCTGTGTAGCCATTTGGTGCCTGCATGTCAGATAATTCTGAAACGCAATTAGGGGGCTGAGCAGAACAGAGGGTACCAAGCTGAGTGAGCCCATCAGCCTCCGTGTCGGACACTGTGTTCCACTCACTAGAGAGCTCCAGGGTCTGAATGCTTCCATATCATTAATGAGTCAGCAGCTAACAACCAGACATGAACCCACCATGTCTGGAAATGGTGACTTTATGGGAATGGTGACTTTATGGTGAATTGATACTCAAAGCTCCGTGGCCCCTCAAAGCGTGGTTATGACTTGTGAATGTTCACTGCTCCACGAGCCTCAGGGGGGAGTCCTTGCACAGAGAATTCAAAAAGCTAAGTGGGAACTTTAAATTCTTTTCAGATGCCACATTTTCTTTTTTTTTTTTTTTGTCTTTTGTCTTTTGTCCGTGTCCGGCAACGGATCGCAACCCTCAGTGTTGCCCCCGAACCGGACCGGGACCGGCAACGGGATCGCAAGCCTCGGCGTTGCTACCGGCAACGGGATCGCAAGCCTCGGCGTTGCTCCCACGCCTCGCTCAGCCAGTGAGCGGGAGCCCGTCTGCACGTGGGATCCGAACCCTCGGACGGGAGCGCCGCCGCGCTTCCCAAGCGGCGCACTATCCAGTGCGCCACCGGGCCGGCCCCAGATGCCACATTTTCTAAATGAGCTCTCTCTATACAACAAAACTTCTTCAAGCTTTTCAGAATCAATCTGACTTTGAAGAATCCTCCAGAGATTAACTGTTAACATGAATACTTTTTTTTTTCTTTCAGATTTGTGACCTTATCTTCTCTGTTGAATGAGTTCTGGCTTAAGATAACCATAAAAACACTACTCCTGAGACCATAGGGAAGGATCGCATAACCTGGCGTCTCGGGATTCACACTATTTAGCCTGTAATGCCAACTAGCTTGATCTCTGGATGAAACAGGTAATGAGGAAACAGGATATGGGTTGTGACTGAGAGTGAGTTTTTGCAAAAGTGGAAATAGCAACCAACCTCTGACACTAACACTATACGGATGGCAGCCAAGTGGACGCCCTGATCCTGGCAGGCAGGCTGAGAACGCCCCAGTGAGCGTGTCCATGTGCTGCCCACAGCTTGGCGAGGCTGCCTGGGCACTCACCCTCCTGAGGAATGATGCGAAGTGTGACACTGAGACCCGCGTCCTTGATGAGCTTCACGATGTCAGCATGAGGCATGTTGATGATGGACTGGCCATTCACTGCTAAGATCCGGTCTCCCACTTTTAGTTTTGCACAGCGATCTGCAGGACTCCCATCAATGATGCGTCCAATTTTATGGGGCACAGCTAAAAAAAAATCCCCGACAGAAATAGGTATTAGGGACATGACCAATATATGTTCTATCAATCAGTCCCAGCCCCAAAAGAAATAACACAAAGTCACAATTCCTTCTTTAGTCAGTATATTTGCCTTTTGAAATCACAGTCATTCCTATGCTTACTACCGAGATCAGAGTTTCTAAATTCAAGTCTTTTGCGGAGATAGCCTAATTCCAAATGCGTGGACCTGGAGTTCTCAAACTTTGGGGTGCATCACAATCACCCTGGGATTAAAATACAGCTATCTGGTCCTCACTCCGGACCATCTGAACCAGAACGTCCAAGCAGGAGGTGAGGACCATGGATTTCTAAGACACTTCTCTGAAGATTTCAATACATATGAGTGTCTGAGAACCACAGATGTGGAACGTTGTGCCCAAGGAGCTCATACTCTAGAGACAATAACACACAGTTTCAGAAAGATACAATAAATGCCAGGAACTTAATTTCTACCCCTTTCTATTTTACTGAGAGAAGAAAACAAGGAAGGAAAGAAATACGTATTAATATGGGTAGTAGCCACTTGGTGCTCGGTGAAGAAATTATAACCACTCTCCCACCCAGCTACTCAGCTTTAGTTTCAAGGTTGATGAGTTTTCAAACCTTATGTCTGCTTTCTGATTTACTCTATTACGCGGTGCTGAGATCTTGCTAATGTCTGGTACACAATGCATTTCATCAAATCTAAGATGTCATTGATGACAAGATACCTTTATTTTATGTAACATAAGAAAGAAAAAAAATTCTGCTGATTAAATAATGCTGCATGGACTGCAACGTGTTCTTTAATTGTAGAGATATTAAAATATAAAAAACATTTTAGAATTGGTGAAATATGTTATATGTCTTTTTAAAAAAATGAATACTTATTTTCTTTTTATTATTTATTTATATGTGAGAGGAGAGCCAGATACATGGGAATACACAGTTTCCTAGCAGGTTGGCTTCTATTCAATGTAAACATTGGAGTACCTAGCAGTATAACTATTTCTGGGGTCAGACGCCAATAGTATACAGTATCTCTGGAAACTCCCTCAAGGAGCTTACCATCTAGCAACTTGTTCCTTTACTTTCTCCCTTCAGGACAGCAAGCCCCAGCCAGGAAATCACTTGTCAATGACTCTGCCTTGCTGCTCACCCTATGAAATCATGGATTGATTTAATCTGCAGAAAGAGGCAAAGACACAATCTACCATTCATTATGTTCCAGGCATGTCTATTCCTCAATCTCATATAAGTGCTACAGTGAAAGGCAGAACAGCAGCTAGTAACCATGGTGAGGAAGGACAATTACTGAGTTAACGAAGCAATGCTTCGTTCATTCTTCTACTGTGAAAGGTTATAGACAGCATATGAAAATATTGGCTGAGCTTGTGTTCCTGACGTGAAACTCAGCATGCTGGACTCTCAAACACATTTTTATTTACCATAAGCACTAATGGTTTTAATTAAGAACACCTTACTCAGAGCATGCTCATGATCATAGTAGAGTCCTGGGATAACATGTTTCTCAAGTAATGTTTTTGTAGTGAGAACTCACTCATTTACTGATTAAAAAAATTTAGGTATTTCAAGGTATTTAGTCTTCAACCACAATTAGGGTGAACTTTTATTTCTGATTTTGTCCCTTCCATGTTCAATAGTGTTTTGGGATAGTAAATGATTTGGTCTCCCTGGCCACGATGTGTACATTGATCTCTATCCTGTGACATAACCTCTTTGAGTTTGTTTTTCAACAGTAAAATTGGAATAATAATACCACTGACCTCACAGAGTTGTTCCAAGAATTAAATTTTATCATCTGTAATTAGAACTGTTTCTGGAATGGAAGAATTGATCTATAAGTATTAAGTGTTGTTATTTTCATTACTATTATCTTTTAAATATTTCTGATCTCACTCTTGGGGGAGAGTGTGTGTGTGTGTGAGAGTGCATGTGCACGCTTGTGTATAGGTGCCAACTTGGTCTCTTTCCACATAGGATAAACATGTAATGTTGCTAAAACTAAAAGAACACTTTGCTTTCTCTAGGATCATACAGAGCAATATCCTCTAAGTATCAACACAGAAAAACAGCTTCATTTGGGAAAGAGATGTGTTTGGGGATTAGATAGACACTGGATCAAAAACAGTTGAGAGTCTGTTTTCCCTGGTTTTGCAAAAAAGATGCTGTGTGTCTCTGTACAAAAACACCAACTTGTAAGTAAAATTTATTATTCTAAGGGTAATCAGCATAATACAGATCTCTTAATTATCCACAGCGAGCCTTACACACACACACACACACACACACACACTCTTCAATATTTATTGAAAATTATGAACAATTTCTCTTCTTCCTACCTTTGTGAGCCAAGCACTGTGCTAAGTGGTGTGTGTGTGTGTGTGTATAATTATATCTACATTAAAATATATCTGAGAGAACTTCAAACAGTTCATGGAAAGATTCTTATTATCTTGTAATTCAATGTTTCCACAAACTTTTTGAAGTCCTCTCATATAATATAATCCTTAACAAGTTTTTTTTTTTTCCTTTTTGTCTTTTTTTTTTACTGACCGGCAACGGGATCGCAACCCTTGGTGTTGTGTCCGCACCGCGCTCAGCCAGTGAGCAGGAACCGGTCTCCACATGGGATCCGAACCCTCGGCGGGAGCGCCGCCGCGCTACCAAGCGGTGCACTCTCCAGTGTGCCACCGGGCTGGCCCAACAAGTTGTTTTTTAATTTTAATTTTATTTTTCATTGAAGCTTAATTGATTATACATATTTGTGGAGTGCAGAGCTGACTGTCAATACTTGTGTACAATATGTGGTGGTCTAATCAGGATAAATAGTATATTTGTCATTACAATATGTAATCATTCTTTGTGTTCATTAACCAATATCTCGCTGACTTCCCTCCCTTGACCCCCTCCCCCTTTCCCACTTAGAGTAATCCCAGTTCTGTTCTCCTTAACAAATTATATGAGGTACCTGATATCATTAAAGTTTACGATACAGGAGCCTGAGGCATAGAACGGTTAGTAATTTGCCTAAGGTCACACAGGCCAAACAGGCTCCGAATGCCAGTCTACCAGATTCTGCAGCCTTTGGTCTTAGCAAGTGTAGCACACTGCCTCTCTTGACTGTATATCTTGGACCTCTAATCTACTACTTGCTTTGTGAGCACCCCATGCTTTATTTGGTGAGTGCAGCCTGCCTGTAAGCCTGGAATCATAAACACTTCACCACTTCACGAGAGGTTTTGATCCAGGAGAGAGAAAAGTCAGAAACTATGCTCAAAGCAGGTTCTCCGCTGCAGCTGGCTTTTGACAGGCAAGGTGTGAGGAGAAGAGGGAGGGGGAGAGGAAAATTGGACAGCTCTTCAGATCCGGTTGTTAGGACTTCATAGTGTCATTCCTTTTTCTGAAGTCATTTTTTTGAGTATTAGAAACACTGACATTTGAAATGAAATTCAAAAACTTTAAAACACATAGAAGTGGTATTTGGATGATGTGCTGTTTTGACTTATTTATGCTTCTGCTCCCCTCCATTATTGAGGATCATTCAGAACTTACTGGGCATAAAATACCAAATGCTTCAAAACATAGATTTCACACACACGCGCACACACACACACACACTTTTATGTGCTCAACAACAATAATAAGCTTTTGTTTGTTTATTTCCAGGCACTGTGCTAAGCACTTACTTCATATCCTTACAACAACAGTGTGAAGTAGCTGTCAGAGTGTTATCACAATCACACTGATTTTACTGTTAGAAAACAAGGATGTATCAAAGCCAGGATTCAAACCCTTGCCATGGCTGCAAGACCTGGGGCTACTCCTTCTTTCTGATATGTGGGAGGCTGAAAACAATTGGAATGAAGAGGAGCAAGGGAAAGACAAGGGAGACTTAGAAAAGCACACTGCTTGGGTTGCCCAGATGAAGGTGTCACATAAACAGACTTATTTGCTTATGGTGAGGCCTCTTAGTTTCAAGGCCATTTTAACTTTATTAGGGTAGTTAGAATGAAAACTAAAATAAAAGAATGAAAACTAAAATAAATTCTACAGTAACCACATGGAGTGATTGAGTGGCTTACATAAAACGAGTGACACACAATTTAAAAATGTATGTTTGGTAATTGGGTAATTGGAAGTACCTGACATGGTTTTATTACAAATGTTTCCTATTGGCATTTACTTTAATAAAAACAGTACTTGAGACTCTTGGCAGGTGAAGGCAGCCTCACTTTTCTTTCACTATCATTTCCCCCATGTATGAAAGTACATCGAATGTTGATGCACAACAAATCTTTGACAACGGGTGTGCTCAGAGAGGATTCTCTCTGAAAACAAAATGCAGTTCCATTTGCTCAGTGATAAGGTCCACAAAGCTTATGACTGAAGTGCTCTCTGTGCAATGTTAATGGAATTACAGAGCAAGGAAGAGTCCCCGACCTTGGTTTCTATTATTGGGATGAATGGTACTCATTAATTCTCTGAGAATTGATGACTAAGGTAACTGCCAAAGTGCAGTCCATTTAGATGGCATGCCTTGCAGACATCATCTGTCAGGCAGTAACATAAATCAAGTCTTTGGATCAGCCTTCTTGATGCAATGTACTTAGAATACACAGATATTTGGGAAAAGTTGCAATATGTCATTTGGTTTTGGACATACTGACATGTGGGAAGGAGACAATGTGTCACTAGTTAGAAATTTTCTTTTAATTAAAAAATCACATAAACTATGGAAAACAAAACCCATCTTTTCTATTTCTTTATTCCTTTCTGGGTAAAAACACGGCTACATTTATATGGCAATATGTTTGATATTTTCCTATATACAGATGAATTGACTCTTCTGGCACTTCCCAACGCACCACACTTGTTTTAGTAGGAATATTCAGAGATAAGCAGTGGTCCACCCTTTTTGCAGTCAAGTTCTCTTCTGGGACCTTGGTATGGTCTACCCAGGCTCC